CCTAATTAGATTTGATATTGAAGAGATAATGGTTCACATCTGAATTCCGAACAATAGGGAAAGTGCACCAGTTTGATCGAAATGACGGCTTAGACAAGGTAGTAAAGAAAAATAAGAGGGAGGAAGGGAGAACTAAAATTGGTAAACAATATGTTACGTCATTTATGGATGGTCCCTAAGTTACATGTAAATTATTCGTAGGGCACTAGGTCGTATTGATAGATTGAGCATATAAATTCTTGAATCTATGGAATCTATCTCCGAAGTTTTAATTTTTTGTTAAATTATATCATAAAATTTTCAATATTAGAGGCGAACAATCTTAAAATTTGTGCGATTTCTGACTTGGAATATGACCTATTTTAAAGATCTCAGATGACGCTTCAAAGCATTGGCTAGAGAATTAAGATGAGACTGCCATATGAGTTGAGGAGAATTGTAGAAAAAATCTAGGAAGTCAAATTCCATTGAAAATCTCCCCCGAAATCCATTATAATTGATTTCGGGGGAGATTTTCGATGGAATTTAACTAGAAATTTCAGGTAATTTTGAGAAATATTTAAAGAACATTGTAAGGAGAACTACAGCGTGATTTCAAAGGTAGTTCTGAAGAGATTATTATGGGGATTATGAGTAGGTTAGGTTATCGCTAGCAACCATAGGCTAGTTCATCTCTTGGATTATGAGTAGAATGCTAGGAAGTTGTAAAGCAATTCGGAAATAATTTTAAGGAGCCTTCTAAGGGAATTCTAAGGAGGATTAACGTTGCCGAAAAGCAAGTTTGCTAACATCATCGAAACTTCACTAAGATCACCTATGAAAAAATCACTAAAATGTTGATTATTGAAAATGTTGATTGATGAAATGATCAAAGAGAAAAGCTAAGGAGAACTCCAAGGAAATATGGATAATAATTCTAACGAAATCGAACTGCCTCTCCAGGAAAATCCAAAAATCCTAAAAAAAAGTCATAGAATGTCCTTCGGGATGTCACCAGAACTTTCGTAGATGACTAGTTCCAGGCCAAATAGGATAAAACAAATAAAAATTTAAGACTCGACCTTCTCCGATTTGCAAGAAACTTTGCCTAAAGGGTGTCCACGATGAAATTGCCACACTATGAAATTGCTCTAACTTTTTAACCGTTGGGTAGAATTTAATGAAAATTTGGGTGGATTTAGTTCATAGTGCATTATTTACATCCTGCAAGTTTTAAAGTCCTGTGATCAAAACTCGCGGAAATGGAGTCGAAAGAACAGCTCGTGCGTGATAAAATCTTGCGCATTCATCACGAGAACAAGGATCTCTCGCATCGTTCCATCGCTAAAACGTTGGGAATCGCGAATTCCACGGTGTCGCGAGTGATTAAGCGGTTCGAGGAACGGTTGACCACCGATCGGAAGCCCAGAAGTGAAGGAAAAAGTATTCCGTACAACACCAAAAATCACAACCGCGTAGTTGGGGCCTTCAACCGAAATCCGAACGCCTCCGTTAGGGATGTGGCTAAGAAGCTGCACCTAAGCCGAAGTTTTCTCCAGAAGGCCAAAACTAAGGCTTGGCTTCGAACGTTCAAGGTACAAAAGGCCCCTAATCGCGACGAGAAGCAGAACAAGTCCGCCAAAACCCGTGCCAGGAAGTTGTACCTCAACATGCTGACGAAAGTTGAATGCTGCATCATGGACGACGAAACATATGTGAAGGCCGACTTCAAACAGATCCCCGGCAACCTGTTTTTCACGGCCAAGGATAAGTTCAGCGTTCCGGAGCATGTCCGCACTCAGAAGATGTCCAAATTTGCGAAGAAATTCCTGGTTTGGCAAGCCATCTGCACGTGCGGGAAGCGGAGTGCACCTTTCGTGACCCAGGACACGATGAACGGACAGGTGTACATAAAAGAGTGCCTCCAGAAGCGGCTGCTTCCTCTCCTGAAGGCCCACAACGTCCCAACAATCTTCTGGCCGGATTTGGCCTCATGCCACTACTCCAAGGACGTGCTGAAGTGGTACGCGGACAATAAGGTCAATTTCGTGCCGAAAATGTTCAACCCTCCCAACACTCCGGAGCTCCTCCCCATCGAGAAGTACTGGGCGATTATGAAGCAGCACCTTCTTAAACGACCTAAGGTAGTGAAGACAGTCGAGGAACTGAAGAAAGTATGGGTTTACATGCAAAAAACGGTTGATTCACAGGTTGTGCAGAATCTTATGGCCGGGGTTAAGGCCAAGGTGCGGGCATTTGCGTATGGACTGTAAATAAAATACGAGTAAAATGGTAAAATGAAGTTTAATAGTTATTTCTCAATCCCTGAAAATTTGATGGCAATCGGATGAAAACTCGAATTTTGCGAATCAATTTTGTGTGTGGCAATTTCATCGTGGACACCCTTTAATTATGTGTTAACCCGAGCATAGACAAATAACTCTACACGGGTAGAAATCTCCTTATACCTTTTGGCAAATTTAAATTTCTATTGCTCATTATTCATAAAATGTATAAGTCAACTAATAAGCAGACGCCTTGCAAAAAGTTAATGAAGATCATGTGTCAAATGAAATGTATAAGCGGTCACACATACCTTTTATGCATTCTTATAGGACCCATGTGGTTTGTCTTATGGAATGTATAAGGCTGATGTTTTGGCAAAAATGTATAAGTGAAACGCATGGATACAATAATTGATTTTCGTTTCGTGTACTAACGAATAAAATATATGATACCAAAAAATAATACAGTGTCCTCACTCGGCTGTCGACAGAAGCAGGCCACTCTCGATGTTGTCACGCGATCGTCTGTTTACTCGATAGCAACCATTGTGTGGTACTCCTCATTGTTCTTTATCAGCAGTTCATTCGGTCGATGCGTCGTCGACTTTGGAAAGCAACCGTTTCGTGATGAGTATGGGAGAGCTGACCACGTTTTGCATCCATTGCCCCCCATTGGCAATACTGCCATACAATGAAACCAATGGAAGCGGCTCCCGTTTTGATTGTGGAATATAAAGTGTTTATTGTGTTGTACCTTTTGAATATAGTTTTAAGATGTATTGTATAGTGAACAAAAATCCTTGGCTCTGTAAAGTTAATTCGATTGAGCCAAATAAATTAATGAACAACAACAAATTATACCAAACAAACTGTTCCCACAATAACATTCAAATACCGAACTAAGCAAAAATGCAATACCAAAACAATACCACACAGGTATTCTTTTGGTATCCAAATATCAATTTGTGGTATTTACAAGCAATTTTTTTTTTTTTTTTTGTATTTTGGTACTTTTTATGTCAGGCTGATCAACACCAAATGTTGGTATCAGGAGCAGAATTAGGTATTCATAAGTTATTTTCTGCTGCTCGTGAAGGTCAGTCAGTCAGTCAGTCAGTCACATTTTAGCAAAAATTCGGCCATTTTGGAGCTTGATTTTCTTTTCTTTTTTTGTGGCACTAAAACGTCACTTCTGATCAAAATTACGTCTGAAACGAAGTTGTTAAGAAAAGTAAAATAATTCTGGAAAAATATACACGGAAGTTATTTTTTTTTTCATTTTAAGTAAAAAAGTGTTTATAACTGAAATATTTCTGAAAGTATATCTTTAATATTTATAATTTATTTTTTTTAAATAAAGCCAATAAAAAATGCAAATCTAGGAGTAATTAAAATTTGACAAATATCGTAGAACATCAACTTTTTTTCTTCATATTTTGACTTGTTTGTTAGTTTTTTATGTAATTTTTGATCACATTTGGCACAAAAATGTCTCAAATATTGTTTCCCTGTGTAGAAATTACATAAAAAAGTTCTTGTTCAACGATTTTTTTGTCAATTTTCAAGTGTCCGTGGTTTTAAATTTAACAAAATTTTGTATTTTTCATGAATAAAAAAAAATGCAAATATTTTACACTTTTTTTTTTATTTTACTCAAAATTATTAAAAATAATTTACCGTGTTTATTCTTTCCCAGAAAGTTTTTATTATTCTCTACAACTTTGTCTCAGACGTCATTTCTATCAGAAGTGACTCTTTTCGTGCTATAATTTATTAAAGAATTACAAACACGCCATTTTGAAAAAAAAAACATCCAAAATGGCCGAATTTTCGTAAACATTGCCCATAACACATAACCATGCAAAATTTAATGCAAATCGGACGAACTCCTTAGAGAGGTTTCTTCATCCAAAATATCCAAGAAATTCTTAGGATTTCCTCCGGGTTGTCATTACATACCGTCATACTGCAAAAATACAGGTGTAAAAGGTAATTTTGCCGACGTTGCATTTCCATCTCAATAGGAGCAATTAAAGTAAGCGGATTGAAGAATAAGTGCTTCATTTGCAAGTTCCAAGGGCATCAAATGTATACACGCTACAACCCGTTTTAATGCAAAAAATCGAATCAGTACGGCTTAAACGCTTCGTAGTAGACAACCTTATTCCAACCTTGATGACGAACAACCACAACCATACGAATCATTCCCCCTAAACAAGCACAGAAACCGTTCCCATCTTACTGCTCATATCGCGTTCATATCAAAGTACCTGCTCTGATAGTAACAAATAATGTTACCGCAAAGATGCTCCTTCTCATGCACCTCCCCCCTCCACCCAACAACCAAACAATTACATACATTCCCCACGCATGTACTAAATACTAACCTTCCCGTTAAATGTCACATACCACCATCAACAACGACGGTTCAACCACATCATATAGTACATAGGAATAGAGGCTGTATAATTGCACCACAGATAACACCGCATACCGCGTACCCCCCCCCCCCCCCCCCCCCACTATAATGCGATAGCAGCAGTCTAATGTTGAATTATAAATACATACTCATTTCGTAGATATGGGTAGGTATCGCAATATTACTCACGCCCATTGAAAGCCCCCGAGAACGATGATTAATTGCCCCGCTTGTCAGCGCGCGCGGTTTGCGTCGGATTACGACATTTAATGACAATATGTTTTAGGCCACATATACGAAATTAAGGTATGACTTACCGCTTCCTTCGGCTGATGGCGCCGAGGCCGTCGCCGCAACCGCCGCCGTCTGTTGGGGCTCGCTGCTGCTGCTAGTATTGCTGGCCGCTTCCAGGGCTGGTTGTTCGTCCAGCTTCGGCGGCGGCGGAAGCGATTCCTTCAGCTTCAACGAACTCAGCACCAGGCTGCTGTTCTTGTCCGAGACGCTGTGATGGACGCGTTTGTTTTTCAGATGATGCGGTGTGTCTCTGTAGGTGCACGAGTGTGTGTGTGCGTGTGTGGAAAATAAAATGAAAGTATGAAATGTTGCGCAGGAGGCCAAGGTAAAGTGACGAAAGTTTGGGATGGAATTTCTAATGAGAAGCGCACGGAAATTAACACCGCGGGTAAAGGGGAAACTGTGAGGACATTGTTTCGCTGCTGTTGCCGCTACATTTTGGATGGATGATGGAATCGAGAAATCAAATTTGCTCATGCAAAAATTGTCATGCAAAATCAAAAGTCAAATCAAACACGAAACAAAGGAAAGAAATCACAACAACCTCCAATTTCCCCTACCTTCGATGCAGCTTGGAAATGGGCTTCTTCTCATGGGAATCCTCATTTTCCTCCGAATAGTACCGGTCTTCTTCCTCGTTCACGTCGAATCCGACCCGCTTCTCGAAGTTGTCGCCGAAATCTTCGTTCTCCTTGTTGGCATCTTCCTCGGTGATCGGTTCGTTGGCCACCACCCCTTGAATGTCGTCCATCGTGGCCATTGCTCCGGTTTTGACGAGCGATGGCTTGGATGACGATTCCTCCGATAGGGTATCTAAATTGCCACCACTCACGTCGTCCGGTCGCTTCTCCTTGGCAAACAGTTTGTGCGCCTTCAGTTTCAATTCCTTCGGGTGGGGTGTGTTTTGACGCACGAATGGAGTGTCCTTGTCTACGTTGGAATCTTCGCTGAATTTGACCGAATGCGTTCGGGATGCTTCCCGTTCTTCCCAGTCTTCCGAATCGGTGTCTTCCCTATTTTCCGGGCTGGCCGGGACGTACTCCTGCTGGGGAAGTAGGAAGCAAGTCAACACCTGATCACCGGTCACTTCATCGATGTCCGGTTGGAATGTAAGCAGTGGCTGAGCCTGATTCTCCGACAGCCAAACGGCTTTCAGCTGCAGGTTCACCAACGAGTACGGCAAATACTGAAGCCGATTACCGGACACATCCAGGACGTGCAGTTCCAGGCAATTTCCCAGCTCCGCCGGCAGTTTGGTGAGTTTGTTCTCGCGTAAGCTCAGCACGCCCAAATTTTTGCAATTTCCCAACTCGTTCGGCACGGAAATGAGCGAGTTTCGATCCACGTTCAGATTGTTCAGCATCGTCATATTGCCGATGGTGTAAGGCAGCTCGTTTAGGAAATTTTCGGTCAGGATGAGTTCCTGCATGTTGACACACTGGCCGATGTTTTCGTTTAGCGTGTGCAACCGGTTCTGATCCAGCTTGAGGATCGTCAGCTTGGTCAGTTTGGAAATGCCATCCGGAAGGACTTCCAGCAAGTTCTGCGACAGGTGAAGATCGGTTAGATTCTCCAGACCACCTATCTCCTCGGGCAGTTCTTCCAATCTGTGGATGAGGTGGAAAAAGAAAGCAGGGGGTTACTTTTATCCGGATGACCGCGGTAGGTAGGTACTTACCGATTCTCTGAGACGTCCAGGCATACTAAGTTTGTTAGTAATCCGATCTCAGGTGGCAGCTTCTGCAGCTGGTTGTGATCGAGCCACAGTTCCTGCAGGGCCGGAAGGTAGCCCAAGTGCGCCGGAAGCTCTTCGATTTCATTATCACCCAGATCCAACCGTTCCAGGTTCGTCAACTGACTAATCGATTCCGGCAGGTGCTTGAGCAAATTCTCACGCAACTCCAACGATTCCAGCTTCGATAGACTATACGGCATAGGAAGAAGAAGGAAAGGAAACGTTTTAAATTGATGACATTGACACTGAGTGGTTCGAGCTATTTGGGGACAATTACGTCATTATCACCAGTCATCGTCATCGTCATCATCATCATCATCATCGTCGTCGCAAAACCGGTTGGAATGCAAATTTCACGCTACGATGACGAATCATTCAAACATTTTGATTAGCGGAATTGAACGAAGCAAAGGGGTCACATTAACTCTTATCACGAAAGTTGAAAACACACAAATAGGAGGGTCGTTTCTATCGGTTGTTTCCACCCCAAATCGACAAACACGATTCCACTTGCCTCCGGTTCAATGAACATCAACAAAGTATAATTTACAGACACATCCGCCGCCGTTCGACGACTCACGACCCATTCCAAATCTGAACCAAGTTTGCACCCAACACCCGCCGCCGTTGGAGTATGGATGGATGTTTGATCCATGTCTTGTCGATTTTCTCTTGTCATATGGACGGTTTTTGTGTGGGATTCGGGACAAGGATGCAAAAATACAAATACACAAATATAGATAGCAAATCAAAACCGGTGAGATGCGAACAAGGTGGGATGGTGGATGGTTTTACTATCCATACAAATTGCACATCGTTCATGTGAAAATTGGGGAGCTGTGCGAGATGCGTTGGACGTAAGGGACATGACTTCTTCTGACCTTTATCAGGAGACCCTTCACATCCTATAAGTCCTCTAGATACGACTTGAAAACTTCGTGAATATGACCTTGACTGAGCACCTGGTTCAGGAGGAAAATTTTGAATTGTCTGAGCTTGTACCCAGATTCATCTCGTCTGAACTTTTGTCCAGTTCCTATAGATTCAGAACGAAACTTGACCAGGTGATCATTTTAATATTATTTTGATGTTTAATGAGTTTGTGACCTTGTGGTGTCGGACTTGGCGGACAGATTCTCAGAACTCAAGGAGAAATATATTGGACTAAGTTGGGAGAAAATGCTATACTAATATCAACATGAAGCTTTAGCTTAGGTCAGCTTAGACCAACTCGGGGGCAACTTGACAACTCCAGTATATTGCCATTGTACCCCGAAAATTTGGTGCTGGTGGTTCTGCCAAACTCACAAATTTCAGAAGTGTTAATAATGTACTGTAAATAAAATTAAAGGTTAAAATGCATCTTATTGTCGCACGTAAAAAATTCCAACGAATGTCAAGAAATTTCAAACGAATTTCAAGGTAATTGCAATGAATTCAATTAAATTCTAACGTAATCAACCCAATTCCAAAAAATTGCAAGGAATTTTCAAGAATTTCACGAAAATTCATACGAATTTCAAGAAAACTTCATTGAATTTCAAGAAAATTCCTCAAAATTATAGAAAACTACTAAGAATTTCAACAAAAGTCAATCGAATTTTATGGAAGTTCCATCAATTTTCAAAGGAATTTCAACGAAATTCTTAAGAATTTTAACGAAATTTCATGGATTTTCAAGCAATTTCCAACGAATTATAAGAAAATTCAAACAATTTCAAAGGAAATTCTTTCGAAATTCAAGGAAATTCCAATGAATTTCAAGGAGATTCCTATGAATTTCAAGGACATTCTTACGAATTTCAAGGAAATTAATTTCAATTTCAAGAAAATTCCAGCAGTTTATTGGAAAGTCCAACAAATTTCAATGAACAATAACTTCATGGAAATTTTTACGAATTTAAAGGATATTAAAAAGAAAATTCCACGAATTCAACGGAATTCCAACGAATTTAATGAAATTTCAACAATTTAAAGGAAATTACATCAATCTCATGAAAATTCAAACGACTTTCAAGAAAATTCCACCGAATTTAAAATACATTCTACAAAATTTAATGCAAATTCATACGAATTTCAGGAAAATTCTATCAAATTTTAAGGAATTTCCATTGAATTTCAAAGAAATTTTAACGATCTTAAAGAAAATTCCAACGAATTTTACGAAAGTCCGAAGAATTTTAAGGAAATTTCTATGATTCCTTCGAATTAAGAAAAAAATACCCAATGAATTCAATGAAATTCTAACATATCCAACCAAATTTCAACAATTTCAAGGGCATCCCAACAAATTCAAGGAAATGTCAAAATTTCAAGAAAATTCATATGAATTTCTAGAAAAATCCACCGAATTTCAAGGAAATTCCACACAATCTATAAAAAATTCTTAAGAATTTACAGAAATTCAAAGTTCCATCAATTTTCAATGAAATTCCGACGAACTCCAAGGAACTTCATAAAAAAATTAATGAAATGTCATAGAATTACAAGCAATTTCCAACGAATTTCAAGAAAATTAAAACAATTTTCAAGGAAATTCCATAAAATTTTATGGAAATTCCAACGAATTTCAAGGAGATTCCAACGAATTTCAAGGATATTTAAATGATTTTTAGGAAACTTGCCAAGGAAATTTTAACGAAAATCATGGAAATTCCAACAAATTTACAGGAAATTCCTACAGTGTCATGGAAATTCCCACGAATTACAAGGAAATTCCTACGAATTACAAGGAAATTCCTATGAATTTCAAGTAAATTCCTACGAATTTCAAGTAAATTTCTACAAATTTCAAGGCAATTCCTACGAATTTCAAAGAATTTCTAACAAATTTCATGGAAATTTCACAAATTGTAAGGAAATTCCACCAAATTTCAAGGAATTCCAATTTCCTTGAAATAAATTCCTACAATTTTAAGGAAATTCCAACGTTTTCAGCTAAAGTTTTTGGCATGTTCCTCAAGCCAGCGTTTTAAATAAAAGTCCATGCAAAATTTTATCAGGATATTGCGATGGATGTTTACTGCATCCTGTTCCAAAGTAAGTCCTGATAGTTACAAAAAAAAAACATGTTGATGAATGTTGCAGATGCTCATTATGATTCTATTTTCAAGCCGTTCGTAATATGTATTTCCCAACGTTGAAATTTTTGTGGTGATTAATGAGTATTTTCAGTTCAGTTTCTGAAATTTTGCATATCAGAAGAACACATACAATCCCTTTGTTTACGTTGTGTGGCGACATCTACTATGTGCAAGTGGGTACGTGAAACTACTAATACAGCCTTTCCATAGCAAAACAATATAGTGGTTCTCAGAATTTCATATAAATTATCGCAAATAATTAGACCCATATTTTTTTTTATTCTGTCATTAGAGTGACCATTTCCATGTCAGGGTGGGCCAAAAAATCATTTTTGTTTTCAAAAATGACTTTTTTGAAATTTAGAGCTTTTGAACCACTGGACCAATTTCAAAGATCAAAATATCAAATGAAAGGTAATAAAAAATACTTTTTAGGAAAACGCGAAAACCTAAGACTTTATAACTTAAAAAATACTCAAAAACGAGCAAAACAAAAACAAATCGCTGACTTTTAGATATGTTGTGCTAAAAAGCCTCAATTTTCAAGGAAAAATATAATAGCGCCCTCTGTCTACAAACCATGAAAACCATAAAAAAAATACAATGAATGTTTTTCAATACAAAATCTAACATTTTATTTAATTTTCAAAGTAGTATTAATTATCTTTCATTTGATATTTTGAGCCTTGCAATCGGTCCAGTGATTAAAATGTTTAATTAAAGCCATTTAAAAAAAAAGTATTTTTGAAAAAAATATTTTTTTTTGTCCGCCATGGAAATGGTCACCCTAATGACAAAATAAAAAAAAATTGCGATAAGGGACAAACCACTATATCGTTTTGCTATGGAATGGCTGAATATCAACATGAAGCTTTAGCGCGATAATTTATTTGCTAGAAAAAGTTCGGAACATAATAGATTGATAGTTCCGTTAGAGTACGGCAGTGTGATAATTGCAAAGAAGTTGTAATTGAGCGAAGGCCCATTGACGCAACAATACTAATTAAATGCGCACACCTATGCCTAGCTCACTTGATGGGTGAGGGAACTTGAGGTATTTCCTCAAATCCACAGACCTTGAACAAGCCCAAGAGGACCTTACGGGATTCGGTCGTATGAATAACAGTAGTAATCTCTAGTTTACCACAATTCGAGTAGTAAATACTACATTCGAATCAATTGGATGTGAATTAAAATTACGTAATTTTAACCAACACAATTCAAAGATGCTACGAACTACTCGATGTTGGGACTTTAATGTGAATAAAAATAGTAAATGCTACAAAAAAACTACTTTTGCACTTGCTAGGTTTTGGTGAAAGATTTCAATTAAACTTTGTGGGTGTAAAAATTGTTTCTACTTAAGCAACTTTGCATACTAATTTTCTTTAAAAAGGGCAAAACTTTTTTCAATTTATTCTAAAAAAATATAAGATGTTATCAAAGTATGATTTGTAGAAAATTGTATGAGATTTCAAAACAAAATATCAAAAAATTAGAAATATTATTCCTTAACTGGAAAAAAAAGTTTTAAACATTTTTAATTGATTTTTCTCAATCGCTCCATTTTTTAACATCTAAAATTTTGTTTACAGAAAGACAGACAGATAAATATCTACAAGTCGTTCATACATCTCATCTAGGTATGTATGAACGAGATGTCTTTCTGTAAATATAATTTTGAATATTGAAAAAATAAAGAATGTGAGAAAAAAAATTGTAAAAAGTTTTTTTTTTCAGTGTAGGGTTAATTTTTATTTAGTTTTTATATTTTCTTATAAAAGCTCATACAATTTTATACAAATTATGGTGGGGTTACATTTTTGTAGGTCTTCTATTTATATTTTGATATATTTTTTTGCAAAAAAAATGAAACTAGTTTCGCCCTTTTCAAAAGGCAGTCTGGATTTTTTTTAAGAAAATTAGTATCTTAATTGATTGATAAGCGTTTTAGTATAATTGTATGTCCTATAACGCTGGCGTGGAACAGCTCAGTGACAGAGCAGGTGAATTTTTTTTTAGATTTGAGGTCTGATTTGAACGTCCAGGATCAGTGTTTTACTATTTATACTAAAGTTGGATTGAGCTGGAATTCTTATGAAGCTT